AGGACCATGACGGATGGGAGGTATGATGTTTTCACATCATGCCGTCACATTGGGGAAGTCCATGACAACACACCGGGGTTAATTATTTATCTACGACAGTACGTGTAGTCTGGTGCCCGTGTCCGAGCCTTTCTCTCCTATGTACTCGACAGTCAGCTTTGCCTGACATGGCTACAGTCAGCTTTGCCTGACATGGCTAATTTACGAATGGTTCCCACTGATTGACTGTTTGAAACATATGAAGCGTGTTGGCAATTGCTGTAAAGGAGTTTTGTTCTTTCAATAAATTCCAATAGTGCAATTTCATTCCTTCGATAATTGTGACAAAAATCGCAATTGCACTTATCAGGTACTCACCGAACTAAACGCAGCAAAGCTAACATTGGGTCAATCTGTGGTAAACTCGATGATAGCTTATGTTTTTAAAGAATGCTTTGACTGTATATGTCGGAACCCAGTTTGAACTTATGAGATGATTGTCATGCGTAGACATTGTGATACATCAGCACAACGTCTAAACGCAATACATTTAAAGTAAAGAGACCATGCCCAACGATTCTGTGATATCTATGGCAATTGTTGAAAGCAGCTGGAGGAGGGGAATTCCTCGTCCCAAAGGCGGAGAAATCGGAACCGATCAACTAGTTTCTGCAATTTCTCTCTTAATGGAGAAGGGAATACAGGTAATGTCTGAGGAAGCATTCAGCATATCCCCCAAGAGGTCACTTAAGTAATGATTGATCACCTGGAATATGTCTCAAGTCGACCGAGAGAGGGGGTTTCTCAAGTTCTGTAGTTTGTGCATTTCTGTAGAGCAACGTATTAATCTCCTCTTATGATCATCATGTACCCTGTAATACAGGTCGAGTATCCTCACAATTCTGTCAGAATCATATTTTCTCTTTAATAAGCATCGCATGATGTTGACAATGACTTGGAGCCGAAAACAAAGCTTGGAATGTCGGCTGTTGCAACACCACAACTTATTCAAAAAGTACTCTTGCACAAAAATAAGCAAACATAATTTCGAACGATTTTAAATGGTTCAGTAGTTTTGAATAAAAATGTTTTCGATAAAGTAACGACGTTTTGAAATACAAAGTTCTGAAATAATTTGACTTGTCCCAGTAAAGCAATAATGCTTACTGATGGCAATGTGTTATTGCCAATCAGATAGGTAGGTAAAATCCAAAGAAAAACCCAATAGTGCCGCTACTAAACAAAAGATTACTACAAACCTCGGGGATTAAGATCGACATCCACAAGCAGCCAACAACCTTCTATCTTGAAAGATTGCATTGTTACTATTTACGCTGTATACCGATTATGGTGCTACTATTATGATAATAACACCAAATATAGATTGCCATGCCCATGGAAACGACTTTAGTTCTAAACTGTAATCATATATCACATTCTTAGTAATCACATAACCTGCCTAAAGTTCGGACCACGTGCCACTAAAAGTACATGATTGTGTGATACTTATATACATGTACCTGGATATAAGTCAACATACCCGTGTACAGGGAAGTCGATTGTGAGTTACAAGCTTAAGGTGCACGTATACGTGTCCAGTGTGAACGTACGGTAAACTATGGGCTACGTATGGCGTGATGTCTACTGTAAACACACGCTATAACAGCACTGCCACTATTGGTCAGCTATAATCTATATACACTTACTGTGGTACTTAACCTACATTTTATTGTTTCGTTTGTCAGTCCTTGGACATGTAAAGTATGTATATATATAACCACATAACGCTGGTGTTTTGGGGAGTCCGATCAAATTATCTGTTTATATTTTGATACCTAAACGATATTTTTGTTCATCTCGTGTTAGCCAAATAGTTGGTGTTCAGTAAAATTTACATCTGCAGCCATATAAAGTTGTCGTTTAACGACTTGAAATTATTTATTATTCAAAGAAATGGCATGGCATGGTTACGTGGTGTCAAAGACAAAACGCAGAAACAGGTACAAAGGTCTTCCTATTACTTATAAAAAAAAAATCAAATTATTTGAACCTAACAGATACACAATGCAGTCAAATGACGACGGGTTTCAGGGAAGACATGTACACCGTGGAGATGAAAGCAGTACAACGTGATTTATCTGCCAGTACCACGTGCACGGACTTAGATAGTCTAATTCCGTGATCAGAACCGATTCTTTATAAATCTTTGTAATGGAATTTCAAAACACCGTTAGTTCCCCAGAATTCAATAAAATATCTATTTAAAACTGCTGATAATATGACCGTTAAAACCGTTTGAGCTTCTGCTGCTTAACTTACAGAGTAACTTAATTGCGGCGTTGCGATAGCAGGTTTTGTTCTTTACCTAAAGGTCAACACCAAATTATGAGATGAAGATATTCTGCTGGACTCAGGGAAAATCTGTATCAAATTGTATGATCATAGAAGAAGGTTTATCGTTTCTGACAAAATAATATAGTGATATCGATTCGTGTTAGCAATATGATGGCAATAAAGTTAACAGGCATGTGTGTATATAATAGTATATGCTGTTATAAACATGGAAATCAGTTTAGTTCCAAACCGGAGTCCCAGTACATTTTAAATGATTAATGACCTGCCTGAAGCTTCGACCACTAAAGGTAAAGGATCGGATGATACTGAAGTACTGAACATAGTTGGTGTATACATCGGTTTATTACGAGTTACAAAGTTCACGTTGATCATTCATTCATTTCTTTATTCCTCCAAATTGGAGAGTTACATGTATATGGATACAAATATAAATAAATACAGAAAAAGAAATCATATGTAAAGTAAAGAAAGAGGAGATATTCTAAAGTGGACAAAACCAATGTATGTAACTAGACCTGTAAAAGACTCCAGGCTAGTGAACAAAGCAAACAAATATGATTACAAAGCTTCACTGTATTGAGAAGAGTCTACAGAGGAACGCAATATCTATATATATACGTGAACCTTACTGTGAATTTACATAAAGGTTTCCATATACAATCATGTTGGAAAGCGATTTAAATTACATAAAAAGGTTTACAAACAATATAAGGATATTAGATCTACTTGTCGGACCTGAAGCTCTCTCCGCAAAAATCAGACAGTCTCGGATAAAGGAAAACATTACATGTCCTCTCCCAGGGCGAGAGCTACATCGTTGGAGGGACAGACAAGTACAGTGGAAATCTGTTGTTCCCTTCCAGCTTGATCTAAATACACATATACATGTACGGGATAGACGTTAACTATATTTGTATAAAAGACATCTCTAATTTTTGTCTTGCTTTGATATTTAACTTACAATTTACCGTAACGTATGCGTCCGGTTCTAACAATTGATAATTTTGAACCAAGTCCTTAAAGGGACAAGACCCGTGTTATAGAATAGGTTTTGAGAAAACACTGTACTTAACTAATGGATTTTGCCAGGTCAACCAATTCAGAACGCTTGAAATAATTTACAGAAATTGACACGAATTGGTTATGAACATGAGATTAAACAGCAAGATGTCTACATTAGCAACATATGTTGATACTGATATGTATGTAGTAGTTACCTGTACCAAATATTAGTTAAGACTACATGATTTATATATTCTAACCAAAAAGATATATTTCATTCATGTTCGATGAAGAAATCTATATTTCTATCTCAGTCATTTTGATCGATGTTGCAAAGTTCGAGTGTGGACTGGTCAGTCTCTAACAAATTGCTTGAGGGATTAGTTCAATGCCAAAGGCAATTAGCTCAGTGTTAGATAATAAAAGAAATCCTAACTCAGTGAAACTGTCTAGAGGAAGACTGGTTCAGCGTTTATTGTTAAGAGGACGTCTGCCCAGTAACGTAAATGAGATGTTCATAGGACATCTGGTTATATTATAGGTATTAGATGTTTAGAGGACGACTGTCTCAGTATTAGATGTTTAGAGGACGACTGTCTCAGTATTAGATTTTTAGAGGACGACTGGTTCAGTATTGGATGTTTAGAGGACGACTGGTTTAGTATCTGCTGTTTAGAGGACGACTGTCTCAGTATTAGATGTATAGAGGACGACTGTCTCAGTATTAGATGTATAGAGGACGACTGTCTCAGTATTAGATTTTTAGAGGACGACTGGTTCAGTATTGGATGTTTAGAGGACGACTGGTTTAGTATCTGCTGTTTAGAGGACGACTGTCTCAGAATTAGATGTTTAGAGGACGACGGGTTCAGTATTGGATGTTTAGAGGACGCCTGGTTCAGGATTAGATGTTTAGAGGACGACTGGTTTAGTATTAGATGTTTAGAGGACGACTGATCCGTATTAGATGGTAAGAGGAAGACTGGTTCAGTATTGGATGTTTAGAGGACGCCTGGTTCAGGATTAGATGTTTAGAGGACGACTGATCCGTATTAGATGGTAAGAGGAAGACTGGTTCAGTATTAAATGTTTAGAGGACGACTGATCCGTATTAGATGGTAAGAGGAAGACTGGTTCAGTATTAAATGTTTAGAGGACGACTGATCCGTATTAGATGGTAAGAGGAAGACTGGTTCAGTATTGGATGTTTAGAGGACGCCTGGTTCAGTATTAGATGTTTAGAGGACGACTGGTTTAGTATCTGATGTTTAGAGGACGACTGTCTCAGTATTAGATGTTTAGAGGACGACTGGTTCAGTATTAGATGTTTAGAGGACGACTGGTTCAGTATTAGATGTTTAGAGGACGACTGGTTCAGTATTAGATGTTTAGAGGACGACTGGTTCAGTATTAGATGTTTAGAGGACGACTGATTCGGTATCTAATGTTTAGATGACGACTGGTTCAGTATTAGATGTTTAGAGGACGACTGTTTCAGTGTTAAATGTTTAAGGGACATTTTGTTCAGTGTTACATGTTTAAAAGACGATTTGCTCATAAAGACAACTTGTATAATATTGCTCTAATTAGGGAAAAAGTTAACTCAATCTGAAGAACATGCGATAGAAAACGAAGCCAGATTACAAACATACAACAATATTATGAACGAACATGAAATAATTTTATTTGAAGATGAAATGAAACATTTATTAACAGGTTACTCTGTATGCAATACAGATTCACCCAGTAACTAATTCCTAATAGTGAACTAGGCACATTTGCTGTTTTGTGGAGATTGTTCACGCTTGTATTACTCACATCATATATATTGAGGACTGAATTTGATCTTGTTTAAAATATATGTCTTGATAAATTGCACAAATAAAGTTCAGCACATCTCAAGACCTAAGTAACCTAGCACCCTATTATAGTAAAAAGGAAATAAATAATTGTGTATTTAAACCAATGTTGTACATAAATGTGTACCTAAATGATGATATATTGGAACACAACCATATAATGACACGCGAAAATAATTACATTGTAAGCATCACAATTGAATACAATTTCAATAAAATGGGGGCTAAATATAGGGAAATTGCACCAAGAATTTGCTTAACTTTGTCAGTTTCCTTGAAACTGTACCAAATTGTGTGATTACAATTATATCTATTGAAACTGTTGGTTTAAGGAAATCAAGCTTTGATTATGTTCTTTGTAATATTTTGTAATATACAAAATGTATGAAACAAATTTGATACTCTTAATTTCAACATTCTAACTATATAAGGAAGGAGCTCTAATGCGACTGACATTAAGACTGCTTGAACAAATACCAATTTTTGTTTTTGTTAACAAATGCTTATCAGTTTTACGCTAATAAGACATAAGCAGATATTCTGCAAGCAATGAACTTGACAATGCTGTAATTTTGGCAATTATACTTTACCTATATACCAAGTGCCAACAATTATGAGGAAAACCTCCTATTCACATACTCCTTCTTATTTTAGGAAATTATAATTTATGATACATACAACATTGTCTGTCTTTCATTTGTTTTTAGGAAGCAATGAATGCATGAAAAAAAAAATGCAAATTGGAGAATCCTGTAAAGCACATTACCTTATAACAGTGAACAACTCCTTATTTGCCACAGATAAAATGCTAACAATTATCTTGAGTTTCAGGATTAATTACATGTACTCTTTTGTTAATCATCAACATAATTGAACTTTTTATTTAAACTAAGTAACAAAATTAAAGATTTTGTCAAGTTGCCTTCATTTTTTAAATTTCAAATAAAAGAAGAAAATTAAGAAATTGTAAAATTTATAACATGGCTGGTGATATAGGTAAAAGAATCAAAGATGGGTGTGGACTTCAGAGGACTACATGTCAGCAAGTCATATCCTAACCAGGTTTGTTTGCTTGTTTAATATGTTAAGGGAGGTTATAAACGTTTAACATGCCTATGAGTTGCATTAACATCTTTATTGTAGATATCGAGGAAACAATGTGACGGAAGTGTTACATGTCAGGTAGGAAACGCTTACCTATGCTATGATGTCCCCTCAAAGCGTGTTAACAAATTCTATATGAACAACACTATATTGCAGGATATTTTTACCAGACCAACCCAATCCCTGCCTAATCGGTGGTGACCCAAACCAACAGCAGAAAAGCCCATTCAACGTTAACGTATGTCACTGTAAACATTTGGAATGTTAAACTGTTAAATTAATAGTGTTCTGTTTAAACAGACATCAATGTCTATAAAAACAGAAGTTAGATATCGCAAGAACATGGACGTGATATACACCCTTACATGGAATGTCAGACTGACCCAATGAACCCCGTACCTATACTAGGACATATATGTTATAGTAAACAAGTAACGCTGAAGATTAAATACAAATATGACTATTAAACATTGTTTAAAACCAACATTATATATAAATGCTTGTACATTGATAGTAATAACAAACAGCGTATACAACAGAATATGAACAAAAACTCATCACAACTTTATATTATTGAAACAAATGTTAAATGAATGATATAAACTTATATAAAATCTGATGAATAACTTGACCCTATGTAGCTACGGTTGCCCTCTTAAGGACTTGTTGGGCCTTTACTGTCCAAACTGGTCTTATCTAATATTGATTCTATTTTCATAGGCACCTTTCCCTTTCACTAAATTCCTACATATTTTTTTTAAACTTTAGATATAAATGTTCACCCCTTTGACTTTTGTACCACTGGTGAGCCCTAAATGGATGTAATGGCCATATAGTGCAGTCAATATCTGCTTATTTGTTTTCAGTATCAAAAACTGAATTTTTATGTTGTTGCTATTTCTAGTGACTATTCAGGACTTTAAAATTCTTTGCATTCCTTGCCTTATTTAGTTAAAAAGCTTTAGAAAATATACTTTAATAATATATTTTTGATTTAACTCATTCACCCCTGATGACACATTTACTCCTCCTATTCAGAGGTTGGAATATAGTTCAGAGGTGAATGAGTTAACTGAAAAGCTCACAAAAATTGCATGGCTTTCAGAACCTGGCCTTTTTTTGTCGTAATATTATTTTTGGCTTATATCAGAACTAGAACTTTTCAATAGAAAACATAAATTGCCATGATTTATACCAAGTCTTGTGCAGTACACAAGTATATGTGTTGGTATGTAATGGATGTGTAATTATCACCATTCTGGAGTACTTGACATAAAATGTTTCTTCTGGCTAAACCAGCTGTTCAAGCACAGACACGTATTCTTTAACTGGATTAACATGACCTGTATGTACTTACATTTTACCAATTATAATTTAGGACTCAAATATGTGAAAGCCTGCCTGTAAGGAGACCACCTGAACCAACTAACAACCTATCACCGGTAATTCACTTTAAACACAAATACACATACAATAGGAATAACATTTTCAAAATAATAAATGATTTAGATATTGGCATGAACAAAACCTGTAATGTATGTCTACTGTTGTTCCTGGGCATGCTGTAGTTAACAGAGGCCAGGATAAGTACGTAATGGATGGTTAAATAGTATACATTGTAGAGTGGCCTAGCCTTGTAGGCTGCATTACATTACCATAGTACATGTAACAAGTTACTGTAGCTAAAATAAACACGTATGAAAAGGAGAACTGTTTTTCAACTGAGGTGATTGCTAGATGCATAATAGAACTTTTGAAAAGAGAGAAAAAATATTTTCTTTCTTTTGAATGCTCGGTTTTGATTGCCTCATAATGAAATTTTAATAGAAAGGTCAAAGTTGATGAAGCAAATAGGTATATTGCTCCCTTACAATATAATATTTGTCACATAGAAAGATCATCATCATTTTACAGGCAGGAAAACTCTATTAAATCATGTAGATTTTTCACTGTTGGGCTCGAAGTGATCTACAGGAAAGTGTTAGTGGATTATGAAACATTTGGACATCATTTTTATCAGTATTTTTTTCAAAGGTGAATAACACAAGGTATACAACTTGGTAAAATGTATGCAGGAATTGACTTCATCTTCTCTAGTTAATAAAATAAATAATAAAAACACATCACAGATAAAGTTTTACTGAAAGCATGCATGATTAAAATCTAAAGAGATCAACTTTCCATCCGTCATTTATATTTGGTAGTTGAGTATTTAGTCTCTTAAGCTTCCTAAAATAGCCACACTAACCAAAACAAGTTTTCCACAAGACCAGTAGAGTTATTTCCCCTCATGCATAAACAACTGAACATTTTGCTTTAAATTAACAAGTTAAAGAGTCAATCGCAACAGGTTAGGGATAAGTTGAGTTTTATTACCTACACTGCCATCCGATTGTAGATAAATGGTGGTGTCTATAAAGTTGACCTCAGCATCACTGATATCAACGGTGAACTTGAACGTGGGGTGGTATGAGTTCATGGCTTCACAGAAGGAGGTAAGTTCCTCTTAGTACCTTAGGGGACAACATTTTGTACAACATTGTCCTGAAGAAGCCCACCGTTCAGACGAAACCAGTAGATGTTACCTAATATTTAAACTCAACTTATCCCGATTAGCGATTGCATTGACTCTGTTACTTAGTTTGCCCTTTTCTTCAATTGCCCTGCATACCGGGTGGTACCCAGGTAAGGGATAAACAGAGCCGACCAAACCTAAACTAAGACACAGCATTGGCTCTACACCTTGAAGCAGGAAATTAACAAATTACAGCAACACAGCAACAACAAATCAATTGAAATACCCTATTTATGATCAGATAGTATAAAAACAAAATAATGAATAGATATTTAAATCAAAACCTGTTAAATCAGACAACCAATGAATGGGGCACAACATATGGTCATATTATACTGTTTAATCTGACACCCTGTATGATATCCTGTCAGATACAACATATTTATCATATTAACCTGTCTAATATGACACTTTGGGAAACAACATTTGGTCATAATAACCGGTCTCATCTGAAACTCTGTGAAGTATGACATTCATCAGATTATCTGGTCTTATCTGACACTAAGGGACAAAATGTATGGTCATAACAACCATTCTCATCCGACACACTGTGTGGGGTATGATACTCATCAGTTTAACCTGTCTAATCCAACACCGTGGGTCATAACAAAGGATCCCATTAACCTGACTAATCTGACACCCTGTGGGGCATGACATTCATAAGATTAACCTGGCTTATTTGACACTGAGGAACAAAACATTGGTCAGATTTGACAGGATGCCATTGACATATATGTCACTTTTGGCACTTTTCATTAGAAATGGGTTAACAACATTATGTTGGATTAGGCAGAAAGTCAGAATACTGAGGGATCTGATAAAACAGGTTTCTCTGTACTCATTGGTCACGTTTTCTTGTACAATAATTTAACAAAGTGTCATCTGACACTTGCAGTGTTGTTTGCATGGGGGAAAAGGTACCTACACTATAACAGGACAGACAGGTGACAACTGATAGATAAATAAGGTAGTGGTGACTGACCACAGTCACCATTGATGTTTTGTCACAGTGACAAAACATCTAGTCACCTTACAGACTCAGCTAGATGGACTTACCCTTTAGGTCAAACAGTTGAGTATTTACTAGTAATCTGTGATCTCTGATAGGACTCCTAAAGGATTGAAAAAATGATCTCTGTAATATTGTCAGGCTTTCTTAATCTGCACAATCTGCTAACATAACATACATAACACAAATAAAATATGGTTTCTAAAATACTTTTGTAATGGCAACGTGAATTATTTAAAAACTTTATATCAAAGAAATATACACAAATAAATAACTGTAAAATCTCCTCTTCCACCCGGTAACTAGTTAAGCTAAATGCAAAACCAGAACACCCCTTGTAACGTAAACATTAAGCTTATAAGATCATTAGGTCATCTAGGTAAATAAAAGGTCAATTGTTTGTCAAGTTAATATGTTTATAGACATGCTAGGTGTATACAAAATTACCAACATTGGTAGTAATGGAAAATAAGATCAAACTAAGTGTATAATACATGTAACTGCCAAGTAAACTAAAGCTTTAGACAACCCGTTTGTGAAACTGTATTTAAATTTCCACTCAATAACAAATAAAAACAGTACTTTCTATCATATATATATATATATAAATATATACAAAAACGAACAATCACATAGGCACATCTGTCAGTTCAAGAGAGATTCTTGCTAGGATGAAAATTATACAATATACATAAATAGCATATATATAAAGGAAGTCTTAATCTCTATCTAAAAAAACACCTGTTTCATTACCCTCGGGTATCACAACAACTTCAAACTATTTTAGACTTATGACACAGTTTGATAAATTATGTATAACAATTAATAAAAATAAGAACATTTCTAAATTAAACCACTTATGATTACCTCTGGAAAATGTTTGAGTTACTTCCCTTGGACTGCTACTTCACGATACCTTTGATCGTCTTTTCACGTTTCACTTATATATATTTAATGCTATTAATGTTACACTACAATTTCATAAAATATCATAGATACCTGAAATACAAGTAGATAAATATCACATCAAATTACCCTATAGTTCATACAGGACTTACAGATCAAATGTAAGGGCTGCATCTTAACACATTAACCCTTGAAATTCATAATGAAGTACTCCAACCTTAAACTGGAGGAGTTCAAATGTGTTTTCAGGGGTGAATGAGTTAATATTTTTTTCAACCTTTACACAACCATCATTTTTATTGTGATCTACCAACATTTATATTTACATTTTCCTTTCTTCTGAGATGTAAAATCATATCTAGAAGGACAGATTCTTCAAAAAAATACAACTTTAACATCATTCTACAAATGACTTTTCTGGCAATTCTTATTAAAAATTCTTTGGAAAACTGCTATTGATGTCTCCAATCAATAGACCCCATGCTCTGTTTAAGACTGAGAAGGTCCATAGGAGTATTCCATGTGATCACAGAATGGATCAGGATACTGTTTTATAAGGAACACTTACCAAATACAACTTCGTGACATGTATGTTCAACTATGAATGGTACATCAAAAAACATAACAAAGCATCTTGAAAAAAAAGTAAAGAGAACTAAGTCCACCAGTGTTACACTTCTGTGTCCCATCCATCCAGTTACATACCGATGATTAGCTTAGCCTTGAAATAGACAGACGTAATACCATTCAGTACCGACATATACAAAACTTACAATATAGGCTGGTTATTATATACAATTGTATCTGGATGATCATATATGGACAATTCAATTTAATAAATGTTAACACTTTTAATTCTGATACTGGGTTTGCATTGTAAAACCTGTCAATAAATGTACTATTTTGAGTGTTTGAAGATTTCATCTACATCTCTACTCTTCTTTCTTTTATCAAAGTCGTGACATATATTTCACTATCTTACATATATGTCAAGATACCATATGGCAATTAAATCTTTGTTTTAAAAGACCACAAACGTAAACATGCATCTGTTTACTAAGAGAATTTCAAGAAATTTATTTGTACTTTTATTTAATATGTAAACAGTGCAGCATTAGACTTTATACTTACGTGGCGAATATGAATCTCGCTAAAAATGTTCAACGCTCCAAGGATGACAAAGCCTGAATACTGAATGAGATTTAAAAATTCCTGAAAAAAAAGAGAAAAAAAAATAAACCTGACGGCCAAAGAAAATCTCCATATTTCTGCCAACTCCCCAAACAAAGGGAATATATTCAAATTGTCATAGTACAGATACATGTCAATTCTAGTTATAAATAAAAGAGAAAAATAACAGTGTTAGAGCAAATAATTTACATTGTCTTTGAACTTAATTAAGTAACACATACTGATTTTATTATACTTTATAATCATATTTTTATTAGTAATAATTTAAAGCAACTATAATCTGAACCACTTTTTCCATTTCTAAAAATGTCTTTGCTTTTGGTGTTTGATAAAAATCTGAATTTATTTAAAGGGACATCTGTTTTTGTATCCAATCTATAGGTAATTTTCACGGTAATATGAAATGGTCAATCACTAGAAGCAGACAAATAGAAGTTTTCCACACTTTTGAGTTAGACAGAATAATCTCAAGCAAAGAACATGTATCATCACCATTTTGCAGAATTTCCTCGCCAACTCATTTTATACTATAGGGTGTACAGGGTGTACAGACCTGNAGAGGACGACTGGTTCAGTATTAGATGTTTAGAGGACGACTGATTCAGTATCTGTTGTTTAGAGGACGACTGGTTCAGTATAAGATGTTTAGAGGACGACTTTCTCAGTATAAGATGTTTAGAGGACGACTGGTTCAGTATAAGATGTTTAGAGGACGACTGTCTCAGTATTAGATGTTTAGAGGACGACTGGTTCAGTATTAGATGTTTAGAGGACGACTGGTTCAGTATTAGATGTTTAGAGGACGACTG